CAGGCCAGGCCAGGCCAGACCAGCCAGGGCCAGGCCTAGGCCTAGGCCTAGGCCCAGCCGCTTCTCGGTGCACTGGGAGCTCTCGCTTGGTCCATGCTTAGAAGGAGCTTTATTGCTGCCGCCAGCGCGACCTGCCCACGCCAGCCCGCTCCCTGGTAACTGCGGTGCCAGGCCACCTGTCTTTAGTGTGTGTGTCCCGGGAACCGGGGTGGCTAGGGCACAGGCCTGTTCCCGGGCTGTGCCTCCAGTCACGGTTGGGTGATGCGCAGCGAAGCCCCCCGACACAGGCATGCACACTGCACTGGGCTCGGGGAGCTCTGTCAACACACAGCCAGGTTTTACAGCTGGGCTTCCAGCCAGACCAGCCAGGGCCAGGCCTAGGCCTAGGCCCAGCCGCTTCTCGGTGCACTGGGAGCTCTCGCTTGGTCCATGCTTAGAAGGAGCTTTATTGCTGCCGCCAGCGCGACCTGCCCACGCCAGCCCGCTCCCTGGTAACTGCGGTGCCAGGCCACCTGTCTTTAGTGTGTGTGTCCCGGGAACCGGGGTGGCTAGGGCACAGGCCTGTTCCCGGGCTGTGCCTCCAGTCACGGTTGGGTGATGCGCAGCGAAGCCCCCCGACACAGGCATGCACACTGCACTGGGCTCGGGGAGCTCTGTCAACACACAGCCAGGTTTTACAGCTGTGCTTCCAGGGAAACGCTGCCCACCTTGAGCACTGCTGTCTGTGTTCCTGCCATGCCCACAGCCTGTTTAACAGTCCAAACATCATCATGTCCTGCCCTGTTGTTGCTGCATGTATGGTGTTTTCCACGGAGAAAGTGAGTTATATCTCATACTATAGTAGTCTTGTGTTAGGAGCTTACAATACTGACCTTGAGTACAGACAGTACAATATCACGTTTTATTTGTTACACTGACATGTTACAACCACTGTGACCCACAGGATCATAGATTTCTAGCCATAACAAAGCCTGGGGCCTCAGCCACCTCTCCCCAGCTCCTGCTTCCCCTCTGTCTCCGCAGGCACATTTCCTGTCATGGTGAATGAGAGGCACAATGGCAACCTGCTTGTGCACCTGGGACCCAAACTGCAGGCTTACCCGGAAGAGCTGCTCCGGCAGCGGCAAGGCCACAATGGG